GCTGGTTATGCCCTATCCCTAAATTTTGTGCAACAAGGAAAGCAATTAGATAAAGCTGTCTGATGCAGATTTTAGGACTTTTCATCACTTCAGGAGAGAAACAATAAGGAGTCTATATGAACATGCACTTTTGGAGCCAAATTCTACTCCTTAATGTGCAGACATTGGTGGCTTGCACTGACTGAAATTAATAGGATCCCTTTTACACATGAAACAGAGACTACAACTAGGACTTCACAATACCTGACTCAATGGCCAGTCCTTGACTCAGCCATGAGGAAGCTTGAAATGATGAGGCTCAAATGCCAGTAGAGAATTATAAGTAGTGGTCACAATGGATAAGCAAACGGAGAAAACTGGGAAGAAGAATAAAACTGGCTGCTCTGTCATGTGATGCTGCTCATGCAGTCACTGAGGGTATGTCTACACTACTCCGCTAGTTCGAACTAGGGGGGTAATGTATGCATACCGAACTTGCTAATGAAGCCCGGGATTTGAATTTCCCGGGCTTCATTAGCATAAAGCCGGCGCCGCCATTTTTAAAAGCCGGCTAGTGCGAACCCCGTGCCGCATGTAGCCGCGCGGCATGGACTAGATAGTTCGGATTAGGCTTCCTAATCCGAAGATAGTTCCAAACTATCTAGTCCGTGCCGCGTGTAGCCGCGCGGCACGGGGTTCGCACTAGCCGGCTTTTAAAAATGGCGGCGCCGGCTTTATGCTAATGAAGCCCGGGAAATTCAAATCCCAGGCTTCATTAGCAAGTTCGGTATGCATACATTACCCCCCTAGTTCGAACTAGGGGGGTAGTGTAGACATACCCTGAGATTCTTTCCTAGTTCAGGCCAAGGATTTTTTCTTTCCAAAGCCAGCTGTCCATGAAAAGAAAAGAAAACTCATCTCTCTGTTTCAAAGTCACTGGGAAGCTGTTGGCCCTTTCAGAACTGATCTATCCACTTTCTGTAAACCATATTGACAAGGAGTTCCAGAAATATTGACCAGCAAGGGGGTCTCCCACCATAACAAGGGAATTGTATCACCAGGAATGTGGACACAGGGGAGGAAAAGGGGCATTTCAGGCAGAAGACATGCCTGGGTTCCCACAGATCCCCTGAGATCCAGACAGGCTCAAGAGATCCACAGATTAGGGAGCTGGACTGCTTGTTCTGCGTATTTTGGGAAGGCAAACATCTCTCCCTTGAGGGAATGATTGGTGGGAAGTGCACAAGTGAAAAGTTATGGTGTTTCTGCTCCTGTGTGAATGGATAGGCACAGTATGGCTCTCAGAACGGGGACACATGGCCTTATTCTGCCACTGATGCCAATGGGAGTTGTCTGCATATTTCTGAGACTAGCACTGGGGCCAAAGTTCATGGCTAGCAGACATACACTGGGGTTTGAAAAACATAGGCTGAAAAACTGGAAGCACAAACTGTGATTGATAGAAGCTACAGTCTGATCTAGTACAGCTAATCCTACATTCCAGCTTTATATCAGGGTTTTATAGAATTCACAAGTGCTCAGATACTATGGCAAAAAAAGAGCTTGGATAGCTAGACATATATCTCAACTGACATGCTAGCACATCCCAGGTACATTAGATGTGCGTAGGGAGTCCCCTAGTCCTGCAAAATTAACATAACATATCATTACAAGATTGACAAGGGTTGTGAAAACTAGCAGGAAATATGTCATGATCCCTTCTGTTGGATTTTGACTTAAAGTACCATTCATATCTCCCATTCCCTGGTTTGTGTATAGGGTACACCCGGAGAATAATTGCCTACGATACAAAGGCCAACAAGTTTATTAAGTGTGCGGACATGAAGGACAGGCGGATGCATCATGGAGCTGCTGTGATCAAAAACAAGCTGTATGTTACTGGAGGGCGCTGCCTCACTACAGACAATACGATCCAAGACTCTGATTCATTGGACTGCTATGATCCTGAGACGGACACATGGACTTCGAAGGGGAAACTCCCACACAAACTCTTTGACCATGGATGCCTTGCTCTTCAGTGTGTCCCCTGTTCCAACCTTTTGTAAAGGAACCTTGTGTTGCTCTAGCCCCAGGGCCATCCTTAGGATTTACAAGGCCCTGCGCAATACTATTAAATTGGTGCCCCTATGACCAATGGCAGCAGCACTGGAGGGGAGTGGCAGAGGAGGAGGATTTTTTTTAGAGCTGTGAATTTATAATCTTCAGCAACATGCTAATGAAATATTTTTAAAATAAATTTTAAACTCTGGTCCTGCAAACTTAACACAGTACATTTAGAAATAGACAGAATATATCTGGGGTTGACAAATGCCTGTTAAATGGCTTCATTACCACTCGAATGGCTCTTTCACGGGTTCAACGTTCTGCTAGTAGGTATGTCAGGTGTTTCCTCTTTTAAGTTAACTAGATCCTTTCTGGAGGAAGCAGGGACACAGAACAGAGATAGGAAGAAGCAGGTGAGTAGACATTAAGACTCAGTGGTGCCCCAAATGTTTGGGTGCCCTACACAACTGCATATTCCGCATATGGGTAAGGACAATTCTGTCTGGCCCAAAGGGCCCAGATTGCTGAGTACAGTGAATATGGAAAGTACTAATCGCCACCCCAACCACCTGCTAGCGAAGCAAGCAAAGGAGGCAGTCATCTCCAGGGTCCTGTGTGCAAAAGGTCATTAATTCTTAGATCTGTGCATATGAACTGCAGCAAAATGGGGTGTAATTTGCGGTAAGTACATTCTGTATTTCCCAACAGCCCCATTCTGAGGTCCTTACTCAGATTTCACTCAAGGAATTGGAGTGAAATATGGGCAAGAGCCTTAAGATTTCACAAAGTACACAGTGTTTTAGACGATACATAGAAATGCTGAAATCTCAGGAGAAACATGTCATAACAAAGATGCAAATGTATTTACAGTCACCACTCCCCTCTACTTGACAGAAACAGAACTCAATTGTATGTCATAGTCCAGATACTAAGAGAAATCTCTCCTTTAGATCAGGTGGCATGGGCTTTAGGAATAGCAGGATCTGAGTTATTCCCCCACCACCACCACCAACCTGACTCACCATGAAGTTCTGAGCATCCATGTGGTCCTACATAGTCATGGATTTGCTACAATACTAATCAGGGAAAACCTTTCTGCCATCAGTTAATGCTGTAGGAAGGGCTTTGGAAAATGAACAGATTATACAGGAAGGTAGGGAAGAAATGACTGTACATCACAAAGTACAGAGGAACAACTCCCCCTGTCCTTGTTTCTGAACCCTTTTAAATGTTTGTGAGATGGATATTTGAATCCTCAGAGCTGACCATTGTCCTGGTGACTGGAGGAAAGTAGATCAAGGTCTCTTTAAGAATTTTCTCTTCTATCTCCCTTAGGGCAAGTCTACACTAGGAAAATATTTCAAAATAACTGATTTTGAAATAATATCTCCCAACATAACTATTTCTAAATAGTGTGTCCGCGCTACAGAGAAGCCTCAAAATTAGTCCAAGGCAGGCTCCCTTAATGTGGACATGTAACCTTGACTTAGAGCCCCAGGAAGCACTGGGGAGTAATTACTTTGAATGACTCTGGGGAGTAGTTATTTTGAAATACCAGCAGTGGAGCGTCCACATTACTGCGATTTGGAAATAATTATTTTGAAATAAGCATTATGCCTCATGGAAAGCAGGAGTTATTATTTTGAAATAACCAGCTCCTTATTTTGAAATAACAGACTTGGTAGTATGGACTCTTGGCTTGTTATTTCGAAATAACTCCCTAGTGTAGCCTAGGGTTCAAGAAACAGGAAAAGGGAGGAAGGAAATGAAAAGAGGAGCACAGGAAGCCCAAATGTCTTCTATTTGTTTCTTCTTTGGGGGAGAAGAAGAGCAAGTTTCCAGTCTTCTCTCCGGGGATTACAATAAAGTCTGACAGGAGTTTGGCTTAGAAGCTGTTTAACCATGGGAACACCTATAAAAACAGGGAAAACATGCAGGACAGTAGATCCAGAAAAGATATATTTGCAGGGCACAAGGAATAAACCACTACTCTCCTCCCCTTGCAAAAACAAAAAACAAAGCAAACCAACCCTGCTGAGAAACAGATGGCAGAAAGCCAATGTTAGGAAAGAAAACTTTTCAAAAGGAGCAAACTTTCACTCCATCATTTGGTTAAAACAGTTCAAGTTCTGATGACACTTTGTGGGGATTTACTAGTGAGCTTACATTTTTGAAGGGACAGAATTACCATCTGATAGTGAAGATGGCTTAAACTCCCAGATCAGCCTGTTGAGACAATGAGAGGTTTTCATGATGGCAGTTGATGATCAGCGTCTAGGGAAAGGCTGTCTAAAATATAATGTTCTCACTGTAACAGAGTCTTTACAGGAATGCAGACAAGTATGAGGAACTGATGGGCTTGCTAATGGAAAGCAGCTGAATCAGAAGGGGGAATACATTTCAAGTGTCTTATTTTAATGCTACAACAGGGAATTGTTCCCTATAAAGCTACTTGTGATGTGATTTTGCTTACATGTGGCTTTTGTCAGCTCTTTCCTTCTGGGAATCTGAACATATCTGCAAAAGAGGAAATGGGCATGAATACAGGCTCCACCCTTCAGCTCCAGAGGCCTGCCAAGTCCACAGTTTTCCCATGGAATTGGGCTACTTGCGAATGCCAGTTGAGGTATTTTTTGAGCAGTCACAGGCTGTGGAATTTCCCAAAATACCGCAACCCACAACAGCTCAAAAATACTCCAACTGGCATTCGCAACATGTAGCCCTTGAACCCCCTACGAACATGTCCCATGCGAGGCAGAGGCAGACCCGGCCCTCCCTTCTTGTTCCAGAGCTCACTCCACTGCCTTGATGAGTCCCTCCCTCTGCATCTGCAGCTGGTGGATCCCATCTGCCCTGGCCTGGCCTGCCAGCTAAGCAGAGCTGCCAAGCGCCTTTCAGCCAGAACACCTGCCCCTTTCAGGACCTCAGAACATGGCCAGGAGGGGTGACAAGGCCAGGCCCTGGCTCCCTGCTCTGGGGAAAGAGAGAAGCTCACCAGAAGGTGCTGACTAATGGGCTGGCACTGTCTCCTGGGCATGTGCCATCTGCCCTGCCATCGTGACATAGTCTAATATTGTCCCCACCCTTGAGTGTGGGACCAAGAATCTCTCCAATGTTGCCAAATACCACCTCCATCACCCCCCAAATACCCCTCGCAGTACACCCGTACCCCTACATCACCCCCCAAATACCCCTCCCAGTACACCTGTACCCCTCCATCGCCCCCAAATACCCCTCCCAGTACACCTGTACCCCTCCAGCACTCCCCAAATACCCCTCCCAACATACTTGCACACCTCCAGCTCCCCCAGATACCCCTCCCAGTATACATGTAGCCATCTAGCACTCCCTTAAATACCTCTCAGTGCACACGCACCCCTCCAGCACCCCCCAGATACTCCTCCCAATACACACACTCCCCTCCAGCACTCCCTCAAATACCCCTCTCAGTACACGTGTACTCTTCCAGAACCCCGCAAATGCCCCTCTCAGTACACACGCTCTCCTCTAACACCTCCAAATTTCCCTCCCAGTACACACACATACCTCCCAATACACCTGCATCCCTTCAGCATGGCCCAAATACCCCCGCAGTAAACATGCACCCTTCCAGTACCCCTCCAATAAAGTTATATCCTTCTAGCACCCCCAAATGCCCTGGCCAGTATATGCACTCCCCTCCGGCATCCCCCAATATTCCCTCCAGCACTCCCCAAATGCGCTCTCCCGCTACACACACCTCTCCAGCACCTGCCAGTTTGGGGGGGCTGGTCTGGAATTTGATTGTCATCTCATAGCTTTATTGCTGAGGTGGACAAGCCCCTGCTGGGACTTGTAGCTTTTTTTTTTAATCAAATCCATACTTAGAATCTAACAAAAGCTTCATTTATTATTTGATGTATAGGCCAATGTGTCAATAAAAATGTTTTGATAAATATATTGGGCTACTTTGAGGCTAGTTTTTAAGTGATTTGGGTCTATTAATGCAGTACAAATCTGGTAACCCTTTTCTCTGCTGTCTTACAACATGTGCCGTCACCAACCCCTGAACATGTGCAGACACCAACCCCTGTGCAAAGTAGGGGCCAAATCAGATCAGATCAGAGATCCAACTAGTTCAGTATCCAGTCTCCTACAAACACCAGCAGCAGATATGTTGAAGGCAAAAGAACCTCTGTACTGAACAATTATGAAATAATCCTCCTAGCCCTTGAAGAGTTGGTTTATGCTTTGAAGTATGAGGATTTTTTTGAAGCTAGATAAAGTCGCTGTCGATGATCTAATAATCCATAAGGGTCCACTGAACCTGACCCATATGAAAACGGCAGAGTCAGAGCACATCAGGCTTAGCCAATGAGTGCAATGAGGCACTCCGTGGATTTCAGGGCCTGCTTTCTCCAGGATGCTCCGGATTTCTCCCTTCTACTGCCAAGTGGTGACTATGACAATCTAGCCCTTCCTGACTGTGGGCCTGCCCTGTTTTCCTTCTGTTCATACTCTCAGAATCAGCTACCTAGGGTTGCCAGCTTCCCAACTGGATGTCATTTGCGGAAATGGCATCCTGTCCAGGAGAGTTGGCAATCCTGCTGCCAAGGAATGCAGGATTGGGCCCTCCATAAGTGGAAAAACAGACATGCAATGTTTCAATTTGGGCAATATCCCATATTCTCTATCCAACTGGGTCCTACAGAGGGTGTGCTCTCCCTCTAACTTGGCATTAAATTCCTCCTGTATCTCACAGTATAGCCCAGCAAACGAGTGGTGATCGAGCATGAGAGATTTTAAATCAAAGCATTCAAAGCATACAAACTTCCCCCCAAAATGCCTGAAACGGGACTTACAGAACCCAAACTCAAGCAGAGCAACCATTCTCCTAACAGGGGCCTGACTGCACAATCCTTACTCCTGGGTTGCCTGCATTTCTAGTGCTCATCACTGTAGTCTTGGGACACTCAGACTAATACTCCTCACTTCCATCCGAAGATTTCAAGGTGCTTTTCAAATTCAAATGAAGCCGCACAGCAAACTGTGGAGGTATTTAATGCTATCATTGTGTAATAGCTGTGGAAGCTGAGATTCAGAGGTTGACACCCACATTTTCAAAAGCATCCATTAATTTTGAGCTTAATTTTCTTCTGCTCCCACTAAAGTCACTTGGAGTTGTGTGTGATCCATATTTCCCATGCTTCATTTTCAGGTGTCCCAAGTTGGGCACCAAATATGTAGGCACTCAGCATTAACAGGCATTCTTACCAATTTAGGTCTCCATAACTAGCCCAGGGTCACAGGGGAAGTCTATGGCAGATCCAGAAACAGAGCTCAGATCTCCCCATCCTTTTTAATCAAATGGCTATCCTTCCTCCCCTTGTACCAAGGACCTGAGCCAAAGACCACTGGAGTCAATAATAATCTCCCTAGAGTCTTTAACAATGAGCTTTGTTTAGCATTTGAGTCATTTATGGTAAAGAAAAACTTCTGACAACCCCCTGCCAAAAACTTTGTGTCCCTGTTTCCAATGAGAAAGGAGATAAAGTTTGTTCTAAACTTTCTTCTGTTTTACTCACTGCAAATTTAAAGCTATGTATCACTGCACAGACATTTTGTTAAGATCAAAGGCAAATCTCTTAATAACACAAAGGGACTTGTAGGTTAAACTTCTATTTTTTTATTGTAGCCATTAATCACACATTATCATCAGTTCCAAGAACAATGTTTTTCTTGTGTAGTAGTGTGTTTATTATAATAATGCTTTTCCTGCTCCTTTTTGATTAAATACACCTGACAAATCAGGAAAACTATCAATGCATAAACTCTAAGTTTATCTTTTTGTCATCTGCTTTTTTCAAACTGCAATGAGTTCAGTGGAAGGTGAATCTTTTATTTAAGGACTACATAACTTTTTAGAATAAATATGAATGGCACAGAGTGCACTCTAACTTATCTAAAGCATTGTTCCTTATCACCTCCCTACGGTCATTAACAGGAGAAGCAAAACAGACCCTTTTCTGCACCAAAAACCTCAGAGCTCTTAAGCACAAGTTACATAGATTTAGCCTCAGTTGATATAAATCAGCATCATTTCATTGACTTCAAGAGAGGTATGCCAAGTTGTGTCCACTCTGATACAACCTGGTTAGTGGAATGTTTATAATGTATTCATCAGCTATTTTTCATTAGCAAATCAAGGGTACAATTTAAGTTCAATTAATAATGAGGAACTGAAGTTAACAGAAAGAATTCAGAAGAACTCAGAATTTATATCAAATAATTAAGAGTAGAACTGGTCCTTTTGTTTACTGAAGCTTCCAAAATTGAAGCAAAGTGATAGCAAAGAGAAGACTGTTGCAAAAAAAGCAAATATCATTCTG